CTCAAGGCAAAGCTCGCCCGCCTCCCCCCCACGCACAGGTCAGGGTCCTGCCTGGCCCACCCATGTGCTGCTGCTGCTGTTGCTGTTGCTGAAGGCTGCTGCTGTTTCACAGAGGAGCTTTGCTGTTCCTTACATTTGACTAGACCCACCACTTCACTGACATGGCATCCAGTCTACAGAATTAAACACTGGAATCAATTGCTTGGGGGTGTGTGGAATCTCCATCCCTGGAGATATTTAAGAGCAGGTTGGACAGACACCATCTACGGATGGTCTAGACAGTGCTGGGTCCTGCCATGAGGGCAGGAATCATAGAATCATAGAATAATAGGACTGGAAGGGACCTCAAGAGGTCATCGAGTCCAGCCCCCCGCCCTCAAGGCAGGACCAAGCTCCGTCTACACGATGACCCCTCGAGATCCCTTCCAATTCCAGGGGTGTGTGATTATTAACAATGGCATGCAAAAACCTCAGCTGGCCTCTGCCTAGCCCATCTCGTGCTACACCCCCTTATCCTTTCACTACATCCCCCAAAGAGATGCCAGCCTCAGCACTGTGACGCTCATTCAAAGCTTGCATTACAAACTGATAACATAATTTTCAGAGAGGGAGCCGCGAGAGTCTGTTTCAACAAAAACAACAAGGAGTCCAGTGGCACCTTAAAGACTAACAAATTTATTATGGCATAAGCTTTTGAGAGGTACAGCTCACTTCCTCAGATGCACGAAGTGACAGAAAAAGAAACAGAGAGTAGGGACACAGAGATGGGAGTCAAGTATCAGAGAGGTAGCTGGGTTAGTCTGAATCTGCAAAAGCAGCGAGGAGTCCTGTGGCACCTTATAGACTAACTGAAGTGTTGGAGCATAAGCTTTCGTGGGCAAAGACCCACTTTGTCACATCCATGTGATGAAGTGGGTCTTTGCCCACGAAAGTTTATGCTCCTACACTTCAGTTAGTCTATAAGGTGCCAGAGGACTCCTTGCTGAGATGGGAGTGTTACATCAAACCTAATTCAATCAGGGTGGATGTGAATAAGAATACCTAAAGTGGACAATTACTTATAATAATGAGAGAGCCATTCCCAGTCCCTATTCAGACCCATTCTGACGGTGTCAAATTTGCATATGAATTCCAAGCTCAGCTGTTTCACCTTGCAGTCTGTTTTAGAAGGTTTTTTTTGCTTGAGGATGGCAACTTTCAAGTCTAGAAGTCTGTTCCCAGGGGAGTTAACATATTCTCCCACTGGGTTTGTATGCTGCCATTCTTAATATCTGATTTGGGTCCATTTATTCTGTTGCATAGAGACCATCTGGTTTGGCCAATGTACTTGGCAGAGGCACGTATCACATTGCTGGCACGTATCACATTACTAGGTGTGCAAGTGAACAAGCCTTTGATAGTATAGCTGATGTGGTTAGGGCCTATGATGGTGTCACTAGGGTAGATGTGTGGAAAGAGCATGAGAACAGCCAGACTGCGTCAGACCAAAGGTCCATCCAGCTCAGTATCCTGTCGGCCGACACTGGCTAATGTCGGTGCCCCAGAGGGAGGGATCACCACAGGTAATCCTCACGTGATCCCTCCTCTGTCGCCCATCTCCAGACTAACAGAGGCTAGACACCATTCCTACCCATCCTGGCTAAGAACTCTTTTTTTAACCCTGCTAAAGTCCTGGCCTTCACCACATCCTCTGGAGTTGGCAACAGGGTTTGTTACAGGGAGTCTAAACCACCGTGTATGATTGTATCCCCCAAGCTAAGTCCATTGAAACTCCCCGAGCAAATATATTGGAAATGAATCCATGACAGATGGCCATTGCCTGTGCACAAAGGCTGCTATGCTCTTTACACCCCCGTCGTTCTGCACTGCTGGGTCAGATGGAAACCAGCATGATGCCTGTAATTGAAGGAATCGGTGAACGAAAGGGAAGATTTGCCACTTGGAATACTTGTCTGCCGCATTAGGCAGACGCTGGTGGCTGGACTGTAGATGAGCATGAGGGTATATACTCAATAGCTCTCCGTTCCGGGCAAGATCAGGGCCCCATTGAAGCCAATGGCAAAAGTGCCATTGACTTTGTAAGACCAGCAAGGGTCTGCCCCAGCTCTGTGTCCACACACAGCAACTTGCCCTCCAGGGAGAGGCTCCCGTTCGCAAGCTTCCCTCCAAAAGCTCCAGGGTTGGAAACTGACTTTTTTTGTTAAAATAAAGCCTGAGAGTCTCCACAGTCAGGTGGTCACAGAACCCCTCCCCCATGCTATGAAAACTATGAGTAGTCCTGTGGCACCGTGGAGCCTAAGAACGGTTTAGGACCACAAGCTTTCATGGGTCAACCCCACTTCTTCCGATGCGGTGGAGTGGACATAACAGCATCCAAGATACATGTGTGGTCCCCTTACTAAAGGGGCCTCTGTTTTATGATGCAATCCAGACTACAATTCCCATGAGCCCTTGGGACAAACCGGAAGGAAGGGCTCTTGTGTGGGAGAGGTCTGCCTCTCTCCATGTGCTTGCAGTCTGGGACTGTGCCTTGGAGTTTGGGACCGAGGGGGAGCCAGGCTGCTGCCAAGGACACTGATCCAGTGGAGGGGCTGTCGGATGCAGCTACAGACCGGGACTAGACTCCTGTTGGAACTGGGATCTAGCCGGCTGCTTCCGATAGGCACAGCACGAGGCGGTAAGTCTTGGGCCTTGTTGGGAAAGTGCTGCCGGGGACAGAGCTGCTGTCTAGCCTGGACCCGATCTCCACTACAGCTGCAGCATCAGTGCGCCCATGCAAGCAAGTGGCTGGGGCTGCGAGTCCAGGGATGCGCACACTCTGGGGTGGGGTCACTGTTGTACAAATGTTCGCTGTATAAGCTTCAGTTATGGTTGTGTGTTTTGTTAATGCTGTTCACTGCTAATCGGTTAGTCCCTGTTTATTTACGGTAAGTAAAGATGGTTTATTTTGAAGTATTCTAGGAGATGTCTATGATTTGTAGTTGTTCTGGAATTAGATCCAGTTTTATGTTGGAATGGGTATGTTCCTGGAGGCTCTCAAGGCACACCAGTGAGTGTACCAGGCCAGCCAGGTGGAGGCACCGCCATTGTACATTCATTACAGCAAGAGGGTGGATGGGACTTTCCCCAACTAAACACCATCACCACTGGGGTGCTCAGGACCTCTTTTGGGTTAAAGCATCAGGCGCCCAGGCACACCTGTGAGTGTGACCTGCTCCCCAGTAACCCGGGGAGGAAAAGGGGGTTACACATATAACAGCACAAGCAATTACTCATCAGTTGTAGGACCTGTGTTGATGAAGCTAATTCAACGGGCTGGATGTGTCCCCGTCATAGCTTTTGCTGTGAAAATGCAAATGGCAAAGGCAGGGGAATTTGGCTTTGTAGCGAGTTAACCAATTCATATCTTTATTCAAGCCCAGGTGCAAGGGCAGATCCTTGAGCCCATGCAGAGTCCCAGCAAAATGCAGCCAAGTGCCTGTGTGTAGTGCCCTGTAGAAGCCCTGCCCCAAGCCAGGCGCCCAGCCTCCCTGCTCATTGGTACCAGAGTGGGACGCTGCCTGAGCCAGTCTAGAGGGAGGGTGGCCGAAGGCCTGCACCTAAAGGGAGCCAGGGGACTGAAGTCCAGGGGATACAATGGGACTCACGGCCCCAGCCCATCTCCTGAAGCCAGGCTGCAGCAGGGAGACGTCCCTGGGCCAGCGAGAGTGAACAAGTCTGTGCCCCATGCACCTGGCACTTCTCCTGAGCATGCGGGTGTCGGGGGTAGGCCCTGCACCAGGAAAGGGGAACACCCTCCGCAAGGCACAGGGAGAGCCCCGGGGTTGGGGCCTTTGCCTGGGATGTAAGTGACCTGGGTTCATGGCCCAGATCAGGCAGAGGGGTTTGAAGCTTGGTCTTGGACGTGCGAGCTGCCTGCTCTAATCTGTGGGCAACAGGGACGCTTGGTTTCATGCCAATCCGCTGAACCTTGCTTCCAGGTCGGCGAGATGGCAGCTCGGCCTGGCTTGCCAGTGCTGCTAGCTGAGAGCTGAGTTTGGTGCTGGCCTGAGGCAGCCGTGCAGGCAATGCTGTGGATGGAAAGCAGATGCCTGCCAGGCAGGGACCGAGCGGGGCACTCGGAGCTGAATTTGTGACTTAGGTCCCTGAAGGAACCGTCAGTGCCCAGCTGTGAGTCACTGCCATGCACAGGCTCTTTCTGGGTCCAGCCCTAAGGTGAACAGAGCCAGGGAGAATGGAGACTCTGACCCCGCGCTGTCAAGGGCTGGGCGCTCGTCCCTCTCACTACGTCCGGCAGCACGTCTCGCCAGACACCCCACTTTCCCTCAGTGTCACCGGCCGCCTCGCCAGGTCCAAGGGAAGCTGGTTGGTTTAACCTGGTCGCTCAGGGCATGCATGTGAACCACCCCTCCGTCCCTGTGTCGCCAGCACTAGGTCGGTGAGAGACTGCGGCTGCTCTCGCCGGCCCTCTTAGCCAGGCAGTCCCGGCACTTGGGCAACAGTGGGCGTTTGTCCCGTCGGTTCTGGCCTCGCTGGCCAAGAGCAAGAGGAGAGGGGACAAGCGCCCAGTGTCGTGGCACGAGAGGGTGGAGGAATGTGCTGGGGAGGAGTGGCAGTGCCGCCAGGCATGGCTCAGGCAGGCTTGAGGCGAACGATGGCACCAGCTCTGCCTGGGGAGCGGGGAGGATTGGCCCAGCCCTTCTGGGAAACGCGCTCACCCTGCCTTTCGGAGAGGTGGGTTAACGAGGGCGATGGGACAGGAGAACCCCCCCATCAGTGCTGGCCATGCGCATGGGGCAATACCGTGGCATAGACACGGCCTGGGTGCAGTGCAGGGATTGCCAGGGCGGAGGCTCTTGCGCTGAACTGCTCTCCACTGGCCTGTGGAGCCTCCTGTTTGCTTCCCAGCCTGCTGTCTGCAGGGGGAGGGCCCAGGGTTCTTTTCCTGGAGCTGTGCACTGTGACCCAGGGTACTGGGTCCTGCTCAGAGAAAGGCACTGGTGTAGCAGAGCGCGCCACGGCTGCACTGCACTGCGCTTGCTTTCTGGGGACCATCTGCAACTGGAAGCGCACAGAAAAATAATTACATTTTCTATAAGACGCTGTAACAGCTTAAGCCAATAAGAGGTAATTACATGGTGATTTTCACATCGTTACAGAGCAATTTGGAGGCTACTGCAATGTATGAGAGAGACCCTGATTGCACAAGCATCACTGAGCAAGGAGAAATATTGCACTTCACTGCCACTCAATAAAGCAACTAGCTGGCTGAACGCGTGGAGCTGTCGGACCCAGCACTGTGTGGGCCAGGGTGCTAGCGATGTGAGGGGTGCTGTTGCCCTCTGGTGGCCTCCAGGCTGCCTGCATGACCAGAGTTCGGAGGGTCTCAGAGCAGTGACCACCTGAGAGTGTGAAAAAAGTCGGGGGTCACGGCAGCAATCAGGCAGTCCACAGTCCAGTTTTCTGAATTTCACAATATTTCTTGAGTGTCTGGTCTCTAAGGCAAAACAAGGCACAGCCTACCCAAAGCTGGAACTGTGCTGTCCTCGCCCCTTCCCTCCCTGCCTCCCAAGGCCACGTGGGGCTGCTGTGGGTTCAGGCAGGGTCCAGGGCACCTGGAAAGGGAGAGTAGCAGGGAGCTGCCTCAGCAGCCACCCCTGAGCCTGCCTGGGACTCCAGTTAGGCTACGTCTACACTGCACGCACGTTCTTGCGCAAGTAAATGTACAGTCTGGTGTCGGAAACCAGGGCTTCTTCCGGAAGAGTTATTCCTCTCCCCACGAGGAGTAAGCCCTCTTGCGCAAGAGGCCAGTGTAGACAGGCAACCTGAATTTCTTGTGCAAGAAACCCCTATGGCTAAAATGGCCGTCGGAGTTTTCTTGCACAAGACAGTGTTCACACTGCCATGGGCGCTCTTGCACAAACGCACATGCCAGTGTGGACGCTCTTGTGGAAGACTTTTTGCGCAAGAACTCTTCCGCAAAACAGCTCGGCTACGTCTAGACTGCATCCCTTTTCCGTACAAGGGATGCAAATTAGACGTATCGCAATTGCAAATGAAGTGGGGATTTAAATCCCCCCCGCTTCATTAGCATAAAAACGGCTGCTGCTTTTTTTCGGCTTGGAGCTTTGCCGGAAAAAAGCGCCAGTCTAGATACGGATCTTTCGGAAAATAAAGCCTTTTCCGAAAGATCCCTTATCACTTATTTTAATGGCCATTTTAACCATAGGGCTTTCTTGCGCAGTGTTTTTGCGCAAGAACTCGCGGCCAGTGTAGACACAGCCTGTCAGGGTCAGGTGCAGCCTCCCTGTCGAGTTCCTGTACTGGGGGAAGCTGGAGTTTCAAGTGATCTCCCCACCCCAGTGCAGCCAGTGGCTGTGCTCCTCTCTGCTGGCAATGGTTTTCCTGTCACAGAGAGCCAGTGTGACATTGGACCCTCATTTCAGGCTTGGTCTCAAGGGGAGTTTTTCTATTGATTTTAAAAAACAAACAGTGGTTAAGGAACATAATTATCCTGTGCCTCAGTTTCTCCAGCTGAAAAAAGGGAGAATAATAATACTTGCCTGCCTCACCGGAGTTTGTATCAATTCATTGGTTTTAGTTAGCTGTTTTGATGTCATCAGATGGAAAGTGCAATTTTGCAAAGTGTATTTTACAATTTCAAAATCTTGTTGCATTATTCATGCAGTAGCCACTGCAGGAGAATTTCAATTTGGGACTTTATGGAATGACTCCTCCTCTCGTGTGATGCTGGAGTAATTTGCCCAAATTCAGTGCTGTTAATTGGGTACCTTCTGCATGTCTGGCACATGGTACAAAACATGCTCCATTTTGTTGAGAAAGAAATTGCAGAAAAGTGAGTTTTTTTCAAAAATAATTTGCCTGGGTTCAGGGATTTGGCTGGAATGGGACAAACATGCAGTGAGCCGGGACACAGGGGCTGTGTCTAGACTGGCATGATTCTCCGGAAATGCTTTTAACAGAAAAGTTTTCTGTTAAAAGCATTTTCGGAACAGAGCGTCTAGATTGGCACGGACGCTTTTCTGGAAAAGCACTTTTTGCGGAAAAGCGTCCGTGCCAATCTAGACGCGCTTTTCCGCACAAAAACCCCGATCGCCCGGGGCTTTTTTGCAGAAAACAAATCTAAGTGGTATCTGAGCTGTCTACACTGGCCCTTTTGCGCAAAAGGACTTTTGCCCGAATGGGAGCAGCACAGTATTTTCGCAAGAACACTGACAATCTTACATGAGATCGTCAGTGCTTTTGCGGAAATTCAAGAGGCCAGTGTAGACAGCTGGCAAGTTTTTCCGGAAAAGCGACTGATTTTCTGGAAAAACTGGCCTGTCTAGACACAGCCAGGATTTGCAGGGAAGAGAGGAGGGAGACAGTGGGAAGGGGCGGGGCCTGGACAGGGAAGGGGGCGGGCTTGGGCTAGGAGGAGGCGGAGCCTAGGGTGGGACGTTACTGCCTCCCCGAATGGAAGCTTCACCAACCGCCCATGCAGCATTTCAAATATCTGGACCGTCCTGGTTGGGATCTTGCCCGGGGCGAGGGAGCAAGGCCTGTCTGTATTTAACCCCGTAAAGCCCCATCTCAGCATTTCTCAGACTTAGCGTCCCGCCCGAAGTGGCCGTTTTCTCCCAGCGCTTCTGTGGTGCTGGCAGAGCTGGGCGGCTG